AGAGAGAGAGAGAGAGAGACGTAGCCATTTTGGCTCAAGCTTTTGTTTCGGACGGCTTTTGACTTTGCGAACATGCCAGCATCTCAAGGAAATCGCCGGCGCCGATCCAGCTCCATGGATCCGCCACAGCGTGGCGCGCCAGCACCCGGCCGTGTCCCTGGGAACATTGAATCACCCGCGCAGCAGCAGGCGACACCTGCGCCTATTCAACTGCAGCCGGGACCTCCGCCAATGAGCATGGGGTTCGGATTTTATGGCCCTCCACAGCACATGCCCCAGGGAATGCAGCACGCCGGTCCATGGATGCCCCATCCCGCGTATATGCATCATCCATCGCAGGAGCAGGCGAACTTTCTCGCGCGCACGAACGCGCTCGGGATGGAAAGCATCCCCTGCAGCCAGCAGATGTTTCGCCAAGATGGCGTGGCTGGAGGCCAACAGCGACCCCGCGCAGGACAACACATGATGTCTGAGCCCAGCACCCCGACTGCGCCACAGCAGACGGAGCGCAGAGCGAAGCATGGCGAGGATAGGCGCAAGCGCGGAGATCAGCCCACACCTGAAAGCGCTGAACAGGCGTTGTCTCAAACGGTCCCCAAATCTGACGCACCGCCAGCCGAGCAACCTGGTGAGCACAGGCAGCAGACGACCATGCCCAAGCTTCCAAACCCAAGGCCTGCCTTCGAGGCACCACCTGCTCAACCACCAAAGGCCAAAGGTCCGGCGACGGCTGGTGAGAGGGCGGTCGAGACATTGACATCGACCGCGTCTGGGAAGCGCCAACCGCAATGGGCGGCTTCACATGCCGGAGATTCAGATGCGCCATCGTCAGTGCAGACTGCCACAGCTGCTACGGCAACAAGGGCAACGCTCGCCAAGCTCTACGGAGTCACAATCGGGGAGGCAAACGTCACTGATGCGATGCTGATACAGAATCGGCAGTGGCCGAAATCCGCGCAGCTGATAATGTCAGTTGAGTCAGTTGCCGCGTCTTGCGGGGAGACGCGAGAGGCGCTATATGACCCTGTCATCGGGCGCCTCGCTTTGAGCAACGAGCTGATTGATGCCGCCACGCATGCTAGTGCCAGGGTGGAGGTCTCGATCGCGCTGCTGCTGGCATCGCTGCAGATACCTGTCTCCACGGTTCAGCATCTGATCGATGGGTTAATCCATCGCGGTGAAGTGGAGCCTGTGGTCGCCGAAATCAAGGCGAACTGGACACACCGTTCCGAGGTGACCGAGGAAATGCGCGTGCTTCAGGGGCAACTTGAAACGCTCTCGAGCCACGGCGAGGAAGTGCGACGTCAGCGGGACGAGTACCATCAAATGTGCATCGCGTATCGCATGCGCTCAGGCGAAATGGGCCAGAACATGCCTGCGGCTGAATGCGCCGTAGAGGACGTATTTGAAGGCGCATGGGGCCCAACGACACCGACTACTCGGCTGGCGAGCGGGCCAGGTTCTGCCGCTCCCAGTCCGCAGGCTGCGGATCCTGCAGAGGTTGTCATCGACATGGGGTCGAACCTTACTGCGAGCGAGATCCGTAAGGCACGACTCGCCGAAGACTCGCACACTGCCGAGTGACTCTTGATCAGGCATGCGGTAGTTCAAGCCCGCAATCCGGACTGGGGCGTTGAACTAGCGCAATTTTACGGGGGTCAGCTTGACACAGAGACGATACGCCGTTGTTTGGGAACGTCGTATGCTAGGAATATGGGGACTGCGATCCCTGGCCTGTTGCAGTATGTCAGCACTGTGCGTTGCGCGCTTCACAGTGGCGTGGCTGTGCTCTGGGGCAGGTTCTCTGCTGACAGGGTAACACACGCACGGGGCCTAGCATTTCACAATCCGCCATTTGAGGATATCGCGCTCTCAGTGGCGGCAGCGGCCATTTCTCAGCGCCGAGGTAGGTGCTCAATTTTGATCGTCCCACCCTGGTTTGCTGCGCCAGCATCCGCCGGTCTTACAGAAGTGAGGGCACAGCGATTGCGAATTCACACAAACTGCCCAGCGCTCCTTCTGAGGTCAGCACAACTATCGCAATTCTCCGTCAGAGGCCAAACGCACAGCCGCCGAATGGGCAGACTAGCCCGCGACTCAGCCGCGTCATGGAGAGACCGCATCCTGACGTGGTAAGAAAAAATAGACGTCCCTCCTGGGACAACGCTGCTTAGGTCTACTAGCTGTAAGACCCGTTGCTCCGTTGCTTAGGACTACTGGTTGTGGTGTCTCACTGTTGACAAACTGCCCCCACGGAGGCTAGCGAACAAAGAAAGGGGCACACGACCCTGCGAACAACAGTACAGCCAAGCCCCTCTGTCAAAATGATGGACGGGGATGCGCCTAGGCGNNCAAAGCAAAGCAAAGCAAAGAGAGACGGAGAGGAGGACTGCTCCTGGCCTTGACCCCAAGCAAAGCAAAGACAGAGAGGAAGAAAGCAGGAAGGAAGAGCGTCCAACCTTTCTATAGGTTGATAAATTTGGTTGAAACACGCATCGATGAGCGGTTGAGTCCACAAAAGAACAATGCCTTTTGTATTGTAGCTCTTCTTGAACTATGACGACGACCTTTTTGGGCAGTCAAGCTGCAATGCGAAACGAAGGAGATGACAGGACTGGGGCCTCAGACAGGCAAGGCAGCACTTTCGCAATAAGCCACGAGGGTCGGAGCTGGAGCAAGTAACAACCTGCACCACGCCCTCTCTGTCCTTTACCTGTTCTCCAGTAACTCTCTTGTCCCCGCTTCTATGATACCGTGCTGCCTACTCGGCTGGGCTCGGGCTGGCGCATGCTGTCAAGCGGAAGAGGCAGCTGTAGATGCTGACACAGAGAAGGAAGAGGAACACAGGCCAGCGAGAGAGGAGTAATATGGAGTAATCGTGGGGGACCATCATGACGGAAGAATTGTCGTACGAACTTGGATCCTTTGCGGGCCTACTGAGCATCTGCAGCATTGGCTTGTAGACAGTCAACTAACCCATTGCACAATCTGTCTGACGCGCTTGAGAACGAGTGGCGATCGTCATCGCGGGACGCCAGCAACTGGATTCCGAAGAGCGCACAGGGCAATGCATCAGTGTAGCAGCAAAGAACTGGTTTGGTGCATTCCCGGCCGGCAATGGTGTCCTGACTCCTGATGCCTAGGCCAGGGTAGGGCCGAATTTGAATCACATTGGCTTCGTTCCGCTTCAGGAGAAGATGGGGGAGCAATTCCGTTGGAATCCATCTGTGGCCAGCTTAATGCTTGCAGCTGTCCATGCTTTGGTAAAGAGATAGCAAGCGATGTTTGCATGGCCGCGTTCTAGAGGAAGACCGGATGGGGCAGATGCTTCTTCAGGCGCGGCACTCAGGAATGGCGTCTGCTGGTTTGGGTGCCTTGGTTGTCAGGCCGTCTACATGGAGGATCAGGCAGCGGCATCACAGCCAATTCTCGATGCCTCATGGGCTCAGCACGGACTTGCAGAGGTGACCCTGGAGCACCTGATCAAGCAGAAGGCGCAGTCACCCAGCTGCGTGCACATTGCCCCAGTCAGTGCCACTATCAGAATCCAGAGGCAAATTTGGAATCCAGAGCCGCGGCCCTGATTCTGCTAAAGCTTGCATTCGCATGTGCAGAAACATGTTGGTGTGCCGCAGAATCCTTCGATCAAATGTGAGGATGAGACGGGAGCCACGGCGTTGCACATTGCCGGAACTTGAGCATTTGCAGTGCAGTTGCAGAGGCATCGATGTGAGCCTTCAGTCGCTGTGGCGAGGCAACCACACGAAACATGCCCAGCACTGTCTCCTGGCTCCTGCGCCACAGAGCCTCTCGGCATCATTGCTGCTCCTGCATGTTTTGATGGACTGGCCTCTAAGGCTGACTGCTTTGCGAAAGATGGTCGCTTTTCTGCAGAGTATCCAAAACTGACGTGCGTTGAAGCCGTTGGTATAGGCGGTCCTGCAACAGGCGACGGCTACCACGCCTTGACATGGGCCGGCGCCTCGGTCCGTGATGCAGCACGATACAGTGACTCTTTGGGATGCGATCCAGACAGTTGTGAGGCCTGCATCAAGGGCCATCTGCAGATCGTGAAGATCCTGCTGGAGGCATGACAATCCGAAAACACGTGCCAAGCAGAGGCAAACGCAGATACCAGGCTCGGGCCAGCATCGAAGAAGCTGCCAGCTCCAGTGGCAAGACGCCGCCGCTTGCCCTTGGCATAGACTCAGCTTCCCCCTCGCCATGTCCTCAAGAAGTCTCAAGGTTGTCGCTGGCTGCCGAGCGTGGCCACATGGAAGTGGTGGAAGAGTTACTGGCAAAGCAGGCGTCCACAGAGTGCAGCCATCTGTGCAGCCCAAAGTCGTCGTTTTTGTTGACACTTCAGAGGCTCGGCTCGACCAGACCAACACAGACGGAAGCACCCCACTCCATGCCGCAGCTCATCAGCTGCTCAGCTGCAGACTTGACGATAGAATTCTGAATACTGCGTTGCTGCTCAAAGTTCTCACGCCTGTGGCCAGGTGTGAAGTGGAAGTCGTTGCACGCCTTCTCTCCCGGACACCAAAAGGGGTTAGCCATGTCAAACCCAGATGAAGATCTGCATAACTTGGGCATCTCTTTTCTTGGCTTGCCTTGCTTTCTTCAGGAAGTCCCTTGTGAACGTGGCAGACAACGAGGGTTGGACCCCGCTGATGTGCCTGCAGCAGCGATGTGCGTTTGTATTTTTGCGCCGATGGGGCCGACAAAGAGTGCCATGCTAGGTATGCAGTGAACTCCCCAGCTGCCGCATCAGACAGCGAGGGTCTCAGGAACAGATTGCAAGCCTGAAATGCTTGAAGATATGTCATGAGGTGTGAGGCCAGAGCTCAGCGAGCGAAAGGTCTGCATGCTCAGACGAAACAAGACGAAGATCGCAACTCCAATGGCGTCGATCAAAAACTCCAACCAAGGTTCACATTGAAGGGGCGATTGGAAGAAAGTCTACGTGCTGCTCCAAGCGGGTGCATGCATGCACACACACACACACACAAAGGTGCAAGCGAGAGGGAGAGGGAGGGAGAGAGCGAGAGACTTGACAATCAAGATCCCACTCCATTAAATCCAAGAACGGGTGGGAAATCGATATCTGAATCTTCATGAGCGCTACGGAGGCGTTTTGTAAACAACGGTCCCGGAATATGGGTGTGCGAATCGCGGGTTTATGGACGCACGAAGAACCAAAGTTCCGTTATTCCTGTTCGTGTGCGGGGCGACAAGGTCCAACTTGAAGCTGAGAGCTAATGAGACAAACAAGCCACTTCTGGAGGGAGCATGAGGCCACGGGGGATGAAGGCTTTTGTGTAGTTGTTACCTGATTCTCGTGGGGGGAAACTGTCGCCTCTCTTTGCAGTGGCTTTTCCAGTACGGCCGAGCCTCCGCAGAAGAGTTTTGCGGGGGACAGACACCCTTGCCCGCCAATGAACCGCGAGCGTGCGAACTCGCACGGAGGGGCAGTCGGACCACTGCTTCCGTCACGCCCTGTAGGGAGAGAGAGAGAGAGAGAGATGTACTGTGCCGCTACTCCTGGAGCAAGCCACAGCAATCGCGGGGCAATGCCAGGAACCCTGTGAGGACCAATGCCACAGATGATGGAATGCCATGGAATGCCCGGGGGGCCTGGGCCTTCCAAAAAGCTCAGAGTCCTCAACTACCTCAGTGCAGCAAAGATGAGGCTCCAGGACCTCACGGAGGCAGAAGAGCAGGCCTCAACCAACATGCTATACATAAGATCTTCGAGAAGCACTGCGTCACCTACAAATCGGGGAGTCGAAATTCCAGCGAGCAAAGACGAACCGATGGGGGCACCAAGTACAACGAGGCATCGGACCAGCCCAAGCCGCAGTCCGTGCGAAGGGAGCAACAGCTGTGGGGGACTTTTTTGACTGGCACACGCCAGGATGGGGGCAAGCAGTCGTACTGCTCCTGCAAGACACCAGAAGCCCAGCTAAATTTCGAACACGTGCTGTAGTGGGAGCGTGCGACCTGCTCGTTGGCTGTGCTGAAATTTCTATGTAAAGGGTGGGGTCCGCCTTCCTGCTACGTTCAAGAATCGCTGAAGCCTCCGGGCGACACACAGGGAAATGAATGTATCAGACTTGGAAGAGGGAGGGCAGCAAGGGGGGACCTCTAGAGGAAGGTGTGCGTGTGATTGTGTGTGCATATATATATACACACATATATATATATATATATGTATATGTAGAGTCTGTGTAGTATGCATGTATGATTATGCGAGGGTGGGTGCTGGGTGATGCTGGGTGGGTCGGCGAGTCTGCGTGTTCCACGGCATCCGTGAAAAGGCATCTCCTGTTGGATTGCTCAAGGGGAAAGGCTTCACCACGCATTTGTGACGCTGCAACAAAGGCAGCCCTGAAAGGTGCTGAACAGAACAGAGAACATCTCAGACTTTTAGCGACAGGCAAAATCTGACACACAGGATGTGTTCAACTGCTTTGTCAGCGACAACTCCCAGAGGGTTCTGAAACCTTCTCAACCGAGTGCACAGGTTGGAGCTGCTACTGTTGCACAAGGCGGACGCAAATGCCTTCATCTCGAGAATTCGCGAGTTCTCAACTCAAGACGCCTTGTGAGACGTCTTGGAGTTAGGCACAATCCGTGGATGGCTTTAGCGCCTTGATAATCGTCTGCGCGTATGTGCGCTGCCAAGCTCACACTGCAAGTTTCTTCATCCGTGGCGCCGAAATGCAAGCTTCCAGTCTGAGGATCGGCCTCATGCCGTGAAACAGCTGCTGGACGCCAAAGCCCAGGTCAACATGGCCACGATGATCCTCAGCCGCCGTTTCGCACGAGTTTGTTGCACGGAGCTCTGAAAAGACCGAGGAAGGGGCAGTCGGCGATGCTGATGGCCGCAGTGAATGATTTGCCAGTGGTGGCAAAAGCCTTGATTGCGGGAAATGCGGACGTCAACCAGGCCTGGGCTTCGGCCAAAGCTGTGCTGCACGGAGGCTGCTACTGTCTGCTACAGGCCAACGGCAAGGGTGAAAGCCCACTTATTGTTTCTGAGAAGAACGGCTTCAGAGAGGTTGTTCCTCGCTCAAGCTTGACAGGTTTGGACGAAGACTTTCCCGCTTTGTGAGTCTCAGGCTGACCTCTTGAAGAGTGCTGGCGCTTTGCCCCCGAAGGGCGGCAAAAAGAAGGGCCGCCACTTGTCTCAAATTTGAGGACGAAACGAAGCCATTGCAAACCCTCAGCTTCACAGACTCACTCGACCAAGGAAAGTAGCACACCAAGCTCGGATGACATGAACTCGCAGCTGACTTTTCACCGATACAAGGCGATGCTTGCACACGTAGTCTTGTTTAACAGCGTTGCTGCCGTCATCCAGCTAAAGGAATGCCTGCATCGGATAGCTCCAATCAGCCAGCCTTCCAATCGCGAATGCCTGGTGCCGATTGTAAAGCGTTCGTGTCACAGACCAGCTGCAGACATGAATGCGAATGTGCCAGGTGTGCTGTGTTCCCAAGCAGATGCCCCGTCCCCTCGACATCTCTCGACGCTCAGGCTGAGGATCCCAAAACACTATCTGATCTACACACAAGGATCATCCAAACAGCTCCGTGTCCACGAGTCTATGCGAGCCTGAAACTGGAGAAAAGATTTCGTGGCCACAGCGGGTGCCTCTTGGCCATGGCCCCAGGAAACCCCCCACCTCTGCGAGGACCCGGCCACCGTTGGAAAGGCTGCTTAAGCTCGCCCTCAGTTCTCATGTAAGAGATCCGGACATGAAGAGCTGAACAACGGCACAGCTGCCACGCAGTTTGACTATGATGTGGTACCGCATGCTGGCAATCTGGACAGCCTATGCTGTCGAGCCCTTGCTCTTGCAGGTCCCTCGCAGGAGTTTCATCCGACTCAGGCTGATGTCTGACTTCGAGGACTTGAGTCACGAGAATCTCCTTTCCAAGTGGGTCGGAAGAATTTGGACAGGTCTTCAGAACAGCGATGCAGGCGATCCACGCGATCCAGGGAACTGTCTTGAGAGCAAGGCTTACTGCTATCGGCCACCCTGGAACATTACGCGGCCCACTTACTTCGACAGCGGTTTAGATGAGGAGCCGCCAAGACGCTACACCTTGCAAGTGGACACAGACAAGTTGCTAGAGATTGCTGGCCCGGCAGGACGGTTGATAGTATCCTGGACAACCGGTGGGCCAAAGCGATGGTCCATTGCCCACAACCTAGCTCTCTCGATTCGAAGGAACACCCCAGAGCTGGAGTCCATTTTTGTGTTCATCGCATTGGATGCGGACGCAGTTCGACGTGCACAGGATTCCGGCTTCAATGCGGTCTTGAACGATGGCTCCGGCGACCTGCAAGATGATATTTGGAAGATGCGCTGGCTAATTCAGACCACTTGCATGTCCTTGGGCCTCGAGGTTCTTGTGGTTGATTCCGATATTGTATTTCTTACAGATCCCTTCCGCCATTTCTTCTTCGATTCAGATGTGGAGGCAATGACAGACCATTTTTTCCCAGCAGAACAGCTTTGGGCGACATGGCTACGACCTGCTGAGCACATCAATACTGGCTTTCTTTTTGTTCGCCCCTCTGCTCGACTGCTGGTTCTGGGGCAGAGCTTCAGCAGAAGGGTGTTTCACACTGTAGTCTGTAGTAGGATGTACGCAGCTTCTTTACTGTTACATCCGTGCTCTGCGAGGCTTTCCTAGTAGAGTTCATCGACGCACACTACCACGGGCACGAGGGTCCCACTCTTCGAGACGGAATGGACCAACGGGTGTTCAACAAGTTCGTCATGCACAAGATGGAGAAGAGCCCACCCGAGGCCGGAAAAAATGCCATCTGATTTGCCAGAGTGGACACCCGACTGCTGGTAGTCGGCACTCATGGTTTCTATTTTGCATAAGCCATCCTTTCTCATTTCCATATTGAGATGTGCGTGGCCTGCAGGTCGTAAGCCGCTATGAGAACATCACCTTCTCAGGCTTGGACTGGCAAGGCAAGACCCGTCGCTTTACGCCTAGAGCGACGTGGGACGTGCCAATTGGATCCAGTGACACCATCACCCTACGGATCCTGGATCCTGTGACTCGCCACTGTCATAAACTGGTTGGTCAGAACTCTAGAGTGAAGAGGTATCAAGAGGCCATCCATGTAAGATATCCGGTATGGTGAAGGCACGTTTGATTGTCATCCTTGGCAAGGTTTGCATTTCGCATGGAATGAATTACTTTTGGCGCAAGGCTGGGTAGTGAGCGGTGTCTAAAAGTTGCTCCAGACTTTACAGCACAAAGTTAAGTCACAGTATGGCTTTAGCAACCTTTGCCTCTGAAGTCTGAAAGGCCTACAAGCTAAAGAGCTGCGATGGGAGTGGGCAACCTCCAGCTGTTGTTCATGTCAACGGCGTCGATCCCAAGATGTATTTCCTCCGTGCCTTGGCGGGTACTTGCTTGTCGCCGCAGTGAAGCTCAAGAGGTAGTGGCGGTTCGTGCATTCCGAGGTGACAGAAATCTTTGGTACGTGGACGACTGGGATGACAGGTTCAATGACTCTACATCGTTTCTCGTGTACCACCATCCAAAAGGCTTGAACCTGTCAGCTGATTTTGAAGTCCTCATTGCTGCGCTCGAGATCGGAGCGTACTTTCGGCGACGTGTTGTGCTACCCGACACCATGAACTGTGCAAACAGTCCTGCATACTTGATCTACAACCTGAGCGAAACGATGGTTGACGAACCAGGCTGCACATACGACTATTTCGCTCACGCAAATGGCTTGTATGAGGTTTATTCTCGCGTAAAGCCCCCTGCCTGCACCCGCAGTCCGTCCTTCGGTCACGGGATGTCACGGGTAAGGGGAGAAGCATGGCTTTGCACCGCTTCTTCCACGAAAGGCTTGGATCTCGATCATATCGATCATAGGAAGTTTCTTGGGTCGTACTGGTAGCTGGGATGACCTCGGAAGTTGGCTGCTCAGGCCCTATGCTATCGAGGCGGGCATTGCTCGAGAACCGCGCTTCAAGGAACTGTCCATCCAGCGGCTGCGTGGGTCCGTGCAACTGCGAGAGGAGCTGCTCACGGCCCACGCAGAGCGGAGGGCCGCCTTTGCTTCAGCTCGTGTCCTCGAAGTCGACGACATCATCCTGCTGCGCGATGGCCTGCGCAGTGGGAGTTTTGGACTCCGAATGAATCCAGAGCACGTTTTCAGCTGCGCATTCCAAGAGCCACTGATTGGTGCAATGGCATGCTTGGATGAACCCTATGTGGAAGAGTTCGGTGTAGAGGCCATGTGTGAAGCGCAAAGCTTCGTAAAGGGATGTGGCCCCGTGGGAATCTGTTGCTGCTGGCCGTTTTGGGGATGGGGGGAGAAGCTGCAGTATTTCACTGGGGTGAAATGGGACTTGCCATGCAACTGTGGCGTGTCCGTGTGCGAGACCTTCAGCCGCCGTCTGGATTCTGGCAATGAGAACTGCTGCCGCCATGCCGGTAGTACATCGCTCTTCCCTGTGACGGACCCGGGAGTCTTTTATTGTGAGACGAACTTCAGCTTCCTGACTGCAGAGAGACACGCGAAGCAAGAGCATCACTCCCTTTGTGGTCACAAGCACATAAAAGACCGCAGGGGTTTTCGCAAGGAGCGTTTAATTAGAATGTGCTTTAACCCACGCCTGCCAGCAAATTT